ATTTATTCTTATTCTTACTCTTATTATTACTGGGCGGCTGTGGCAGAGTGGTTAGGAGAGTCATCCTGGAACCAGAAGGTTGCCAGTTCCATATTCGGTCCAGCCATCTCAGTTGACACTTCATGGTGATGCCTGTGTACGGCAGCCTCGCCTCTGTCAGTGTGCCCCAGGGCAGCTGTGGCTACAATGTAGCTTACCATCATCAGTGTGTGAATGGGTGAGTGTCTGTAWGTGTAAAGCGCTTTGGGGTCTGGAAGGGCTTAAAAGTGCTATATAAGGTCAGACCATTATATTAAATTAGTTTTGGATTTAAACCTGTCTGCCTGCATCTTTGGGTCCAAAATGAAAGGAACATGTGACCTTCTAGCACTGGAACCTCCTCTAACCTCTGTAAATTTCCATTAGTTTGTCTTTATTTTTAGCTTAGATTGTTTTAGCTCACGTATGGCAAATTTTCCTCGATGCAATGTGTGTTGATTTTTGCAGATAGAGTAAGATCCATGTTAACATAATGGTAATGATGTCATTAAACCTGAAGCAGGAGCCCACAGATTGCCAACCGCTTCGTAAGCTTCACCCAGAGATGTCAGGTGGGAGCATAAACTGTGCAACTGCATAAACCTGTGTGGTGGTAAAAAATAAATGCAAGCATAAGCAGACTTGTGGTCATTTTTGTTTGCTTGTTTTGAATWCAGATCAAGCCCCCTTGGTACACTGATGAGCTTAACCCCTCTACTGATCATTCCAAAACCTAGAGTTGCTTTATTTTGCATAAAAGCTACAGTTCTAGTCCCTCTGAGTTAACGGCTGACCCCTTTTCTGCACTTGAATATTCTACTACTAACACCTCTCCCCCCCTCCTTGTAATGAGATTCTGGGATCCTGTGTGTTGACTGAAGCACTTCTCAGTTTTTTGCAGCCAAGCAAAAAGTTCAAGCTAAATTCCCCTCCGGTGCTATAAAGGTAAGAGCAGAACTCCCCCCGGTGCAGCAGACTGCAGCAGAAGATGGCCCCCGTGACTAACTGAAAGGCTGCAAGCATCTCACACAATCAGCCGTCTCCGTCTGTGATTATAGATGTGACTTTGTGTCCCCCGAATACAAATCCGCACACCGTCTCCGAATCCTCCGGTGCCTCTTTAAGACCTGGCGAGGATGACCACGATGAGTTTCCGGCCTCCTCGGGGTCCTCATTATATGTGCCACTTGGAACCTCTGTTTTCAGCTCAAACTTTCCCCAACAGTTCTTAATGATCGCACTTCCACCTCGGTTGTTTTCTGCCTCCTCACTGATTCGGTAAAACCCGTCAGGTGTTGAAACAGCAGCTTCACACCGGCTCTCATTGGGGCCCTTATGGGAGCTAACTTCTCTGACTCATGGGCCTGAATTACTCCCATAAAACATCAATAATTGCTCTTTAGTTGATAGGTTCACAGAGAGATGAAATGTGTCACTTCAGGCTAAAATTATGATTGTTCAACTGTTCTTAATGAAAAAGTCATTTCATTTATGAATGTATTTATGTGCACTTCTGTGCTTGCATGTGTTTTTTTGTTAGTAAAATATGCACTCTTTTAAAAATGCTATAATTTTTATTAAAATATCACAAATTCATTGGTTTAATACAGTTTTGAATCGTTTGCATTCAGTCTTCTTGGAGTCATGACTCAGCTAATGCTAAACACACATTTTTGTCTCAACTCATTAGCAGTGTAAGTGTTTTTTTTTAATGGGGAGCAAGAACTGAGGCAAAATACCTCAAATTAGGAAAAACACAATTTCGAAATTTTGTAAAAAAAAACAAAAAGTGAAACAATCCATCATTCAAGATTTCCCTGCAGATCTACAGTGTTTGTTTTTCCTGCAGTGTAATTTTTATTACAAGATGTTGCGTGTACTGCAGTGTCGCGCACAGGCACACACAAACACACTTAGACAGGGAGCTACAGGATGTTTGATCATTGCCAAGCCAAAGCATGCAACATAAGATATTTTTTCACATGAACACAGATGCATTACATGTGTCAAACAAGAAGGTTCACCAGTTTCTAACATGGGGAAGATCCTATTCATCACACACTGATGCATTATAGGAGATATATATATATATATATTTTGTTTTTGTTTTTAAACAAATAAGTCAACGTTACTCACATATTTACACAACTGGAAATCAGTGTGACCACATTGTGGAAGACAAGCCCGAATGAGGTGAGCATGAGCGATGATGGATGCGATGAGGTGCAGGTGCTGTGAGGAGTGAACGTCAGGATGAAGAGATGACCAACAAATCACTGACAACAATGCGGGAATACAGAAATCAATCTCAACAGAATACAGCTTTCTAAGAGACGCAACAGGTACAACAACAAAAGAAAATAAATAAAAAGGACAAAAATAATAAAAAAATAAAATAAAACAAGCTGCTTTCTGTCTCGACCCCAGGGGTTCTGTTTTTGAAGTGGTTTGCTTCAGAGGTTTGGCAGAGGAGGCGTTTTGCCAAGTTCGATGCTTTTTGACAAGTTAGCGCAGCCTCGCTGCTGTGCTCTTTGTTTGTGCCCTTTGTTAATGGCCTCTAAGCACAAAGCAGTCTGAAAACACAACAGGCTCAGACACCTATCAAGCAAATTCCCCCCTGCTGAACTCTGATTGATTCTTCTCGTTTTGTTCTTCTCTGTGTGCCCACTTCACCTTTTTTTCCCTCTCATAAAAGTTAGACTTCTGTCAGCGCCGCCTTCGGCACTTAAGTGTATTTTATCAAGTCACAAAGAGAGGTTTTGACAGTGCCTACTGTGGAAGACATGGGGTTTGATTCGGGATCTAGTTGCAGGCTTTGCTGGGAATTTTTCCATCTTTTCCAACACCAGTTCCAAAAAAATAGAAATGCTGTGTTAAATTTAAAGATAAAACAGAACACAATGATTTGTAAATCTCATTCACCCATATTCTATTCACAAAAGGTTGCTGTGATGGATGCAGACATTGTTTTAGAGCATGATTTTTGCAGATGTGTWAGCATTAATGCACCCCTATACCACTTGAGAAGCAGAGTTTTGCTTTGTGCACTGATAACAAGCCGGTTCCTCTCCTCTTTAGTACCATTGTTTCCAAAAAGAAAAAGAAAAAAATTGAGTATTACAGTAATGCTCAGAACAGAATCAGACTTACTTTTATTGCCTGATTGCCTGATGCTATAATGAACTGAAATGGGAGATTTAGTCTTCTCAATTGTTTATTAAAAAAACATTATTCTGAAATTGTTCCACCATTTTTAGACGGTATTGTGCAGACTGGTGAACATTTGCTCATCTGTACTTTTACGAGATATAGCCTTTCTAAAAGTCTGTTTACACTCAGTCTTCTCATTGATCTGTTGCCAATTAACCTAATTAGAAAACGCACCCCAGCTGTTTATTTGCACTGCTTACTATGACAACCTGCCGCTGCTTCGGTTTCATATTTTTAAAGACGAGTTGTTGTCAGTAAATTTGTCAAATTTCTCAGTTAAAAAGCGATTTATATCAGATTTAGAGGGGCAATATCATGTAAAATCAACTTTTTTGAATTTTATATCATGTTATAATGTTATACTCTCATAAAAAAC